ATTCGAAATCAACAGCTTTATTTAGTCAGTTCAGTTTTCTAAATAGCCCCGTACATTTACCAGCTTTGAACAGTAGCAAAAAACTCCTTTCTTCAAATTCCTAAATTTTTACGAAAACATCTCCCATGTGAAAGCTTTGAATTTATTGAACGTAAGCAAGTACTTTTTGATGGACAACATCTTTGGGCTGAATTTCCATTGACTGCTACAGTAACACAGTCATGTGTATGAGGACACTTGGCTGCTTCAGAACACTGCATCAGTTGATTCGATGCCACATCGCGCAGTGGTTGACCGCCATTTGGACAGCCTTAAAAAGGTTGCTAAGTATTGTAATTTGAGACTATACCGATAAAATAACCAATGAACTGGAAATTTTGCAGGAAGGGTTGTTGAAAATGTAGTTTACAGGCACTGAAAGCTCCTCAATGGGACCTCATATGGCTTAACTTTTGTTACACAGACTTTTATCAGGTAATACAATGGAAACTTAAATTGTGATTCTTTGTGAAAGAAAAACTTTAACTTCATTCCCACAGCTGTAAAAAAAACAAGACTTTTAGTTTTTCCAAAAAACTGCTTAAAAAGTTAACTAATATTGGCAACTAAGTAACACGTCTGTAATAATAGAGAAAAATGTCTTTTAGCACCTCCAATACCGCAATAATCCTGGCACTCTTCAGCAGTTTGGAAGTTGTTTGAATTGCCGTCGCACCCCTCGTACTGGAATGACTCACAAGCCTGCTTATTAGAATTAAAATAGTAGCGATAGGATCTACCTGCAATACGTTAAAGCCTAAATCTCAGCATGGTTTTAGCACAAAATTTGTTTTAATTTTAAATTCCCCCTGAAAAAATTTCAAATTATCTGTATAAAAGAATATTTCAAATATTATATCAAGAGCAAATGTTATGTGTACAATTTATGGCAAACTTTAAATAGCCGCTTCAGTTAAAAATTACAGTGCAACTCATAGTGAAAGTGCAGATGAACCTACCTGAACCACACTGTACACCCTTGTCAGCATTCAATGAACAACTGTAAGCTAAAATAGTATATGTAATTACTGAATAACTAAAATATGCTTTGGACTATTAATTTTAAAAACATATGACAGTTTTTAAAGCATTGTAATGAGCAGGCAACGAGCATTCAGATACTTGCCTTTGGTCGGACAACAACCATATGATGTTCCGTCAAAGAAACAGTGATAGTTGGCTGGACATGCTCGTCCATTACTTTTACTTCCAGAACAATGAACAAAATTACCATTAAGATCCTTATAAGCCCTTCCTTGCTGACACTTCGGCTCCTCTTAAAACTTTTTTCTATAGCCTCCGTTCTTGAATTATTGTCTTCTTTTTACTCTTCGTGAAAACATTTGGAATTAGAAACTTACGAACAACGTTTTTACACTTAGTCTGGCATGCCAGAAGAGTATCAAAATTATTATCATTCCCTTGACAACCAGTGTATTGGAAGACTTCACACTGGCGGGTTTGTGCATTGTACCAATAACGTCGGACACTGTTGGTGCAGTCTCCAAGACGCTTTGGTTGAGTACATATTGTTTCTGTAATAATGAAATTTGAAGAATTATTGGTTGAAGCATTTAGCTTTCAAATAGCTTTAGGAAACTGCGCATCAATTATAATGTTTGGTGAAGAATAGATGTATAAAATGTTCAAATTATAATTTTTTTTGCTTGATTAGTTCTCACTTTGTTCTACATCTAGATCTAAAGACCAGTTAATGCTAATTTGTAACTGATTTTCCTTTTTCTGTCACAGATTTAGTCCATCGTTTGAGCAACGTTTGAAAAAAAAAATAGAAAAAAATTATACGCTTGTGCTAATTGAAATTTTAACTTTTAAAAAGAAAAAAATACGTCAAGACATTACGCGAAGTTGGACAGCAGACTCTATGTTGTTGATCACAAAGATGTGAAGATGGACAGTCCGCATTTGACGTACATCGTTGCCAGTCTTCTCCAATTCGTAATGGATTACCGAATTCACAGACCACTGCAAAAAAATTTCTGCCTATTCACTGTGGTCTAACAACTTTTTGGCATGAAATCGCAGAACAGAACGAACATTTTGAGCAAAAACTTTCACAATCTTGCTTTGTAAGGAAATTATTGTAGTTTCCAAGTCCACTATACAAGAAATTAAGACATCTTCCTTGATCTGCGTCATAATAGTACCGTGTACTCGGTTTTCTACAAAGAGAGTCAAAAAGAATAGTGCACAAATAACGTTCATCTCCAAATAAACTTCTAACAACAATTTTGCAATTTTAATTCCCCATTTGTCATAAAAAGAAGATAATGCCAAAACTTAGCTATTCAATTCAAAAAATTTTTGAAGACATTTAGCCTGAACAAAAGCGATGTTTCAAAAGTTACCCGCCAGCAATTAAGCTTCCTCTATCAGAATTAACGTCTGGCTTGAAGTTTAGAACACGACCGCCGTATGGGCTACATATATGAGCTGAAAAAAATAGAAAAAATTAAGAATAGTCTGTTTCTTGACATCTTTCCTATTTGCCTGCCAATTATAAAGGATTTTACTTACAAACTGTTGGACAACAGGTCTGATGTGAACCAATAACCGTACACTGATACTCGGCTGCACATCCGGCAGGATTGTGTGCACAGTTCTGTACACGTGTATCATCAATCATTGCCCATTTTGAATCAGCAAACTGATTCGCCCCACGTCGACAAGCTGGATCCCAATATTGTCATGATAACAAGTTAACAGCAAAAAAAAAATTTTTTTTGCTTTGAGTCAAAAAATTTTACAGTCAGTTCCCTGTTATGAAGAAAACCTATATTAATTTCCTTAATGCTTCTTACAGCTCATTTTCGGTAATTTAAAATGGCTAGGTACTCACTGTCGCGACAAAATGATTCACAATGTTCGACTGTTCTGAAATTATTTGGTGATACGTTATCAGTCATAGATGGATCCCATAAGAACTGTGAGCATGTGCCAGTTACTGAGTTATACCACCATCTTGGTACAGATGGTGTATTACCTGCTTCCAAAGGTTGTATACAAACAAAAGCTGCAATAATGATGACTAGGTCGACTTTTAAAAATACATTACACGTTCTTCAGTTATTTGCAGAAAAATATAATATTTGACGAGAAAAGGACAAGGAGAAGTCATAAAAATAATTGGACACTTAAATGGACCTCTGCTGTGGCAACATATACCGTCGACAGAATCAGCATAGTCGCGGAAAATAACACTTGTGACTTGAGGATGCGGTACGCAATTATACAGATCTGCGATGTAGATATCCTGATCACCGTCTGGATAAATGCACCAGGTGGAACCATCGCCACCATTAGAATTATAAACCTGTGTAGAAAAGCAAAGTCCCAACTATTCCACAAATTCTACTTCTTTTTACTTTATGCTTCTCCAAAATGACAATATTTTTTTTTGGTTAATTTGGGGCAAAATTTCACTTCATAAGTATTACTTCATTGCTTGTACTGGTGCATAACACTGGCATATAAGTATCTCGTGCTAAAGGATGAGTTGATGGGTTAGCCAGTATCGTCGCTGGATTAGGAAGGCCAGAGCCTGATTCAGGAAGAGGACATGCTGGAGGCATTCCCGGTGTAACGCATAACGTTCCGTCACGACTTCTTGCAGGAACCTTAAAATTATCGTTTTTAGTTGGTTCATCAATTCACTCTTCACTGCAGCATTCGTAGCTCTTCTTGAAGTAATTTGAGATTAAAAGTCTGATCATGCATCTAACATAAAAACTTTGAAAAAACGGTATTTGATAGAACTTTTCTAAGGGTATTGAACTGCTAACGGTGTCATCAGGACATTCACAGATCCCAGCTGGCGAACATCTAGCACCTGGCCAAACAGCTTCACACTGACGATCTTCAATACATCCACTTTCTCCAGGATTAACTTCTACAAAAACAACTTGTGTACGTCCTCTTCCTTCTCATACCAAGGCAAGTGATGGCAATTCAGTGTTTAATTACATTAGCGAAAGACCAAAATAAAAGATTCTTAATAACCAGCCACATACTTGACCAACAGTAACCGGCGATAGACACAAAATCGGAAAGGCAGGTACAAATGCCGCTACCGCAAAACATTCCGGACTGGCAGTCGGTATTGAAGGAGCAAACATCGCCAGCTCGGGCGCTACCCGCTTCTAATATAGTTTACAAAGTAAAAGACCAAAAGTGGTTATAAAAAATTTTAGAAATTTCCAGTTTTTTCAACTTATCAATTTACACAGCCGATTAATTATTACGTAACAAGAAAGAGCCACTGACCTAACTTAAAAAAATTGTTTTTAGTAACCTTTAATCCAAAATATTCTACTAGCATTACTGTACCAAGCCTTAAAAAAGGTACCATTGATTAGTAAAAATACTGTTAGACAACTTAGGCAATAATAAAGATTTTTTCAGCTTCTATTATGGCTTTTCACCAGATAGCACAAAATAGTTATGAAATTTATTTGCTTTTATAGTGGGAAAGAAAAAACAGATCAATTGCTTTTGGACATTCAAATTACCCGATCTTTTTCGACGCTTTCCTCCAACATTAATACAGGCGTTACGTTCAAAATCATATTTCTGTCCGCTATTACAAGACGCTTTTTCAAAGTAATTACCATTGCATTTCAAAAAGTTTTGCAGATCTACTTGTATATTCCTAAACAACGCAATAATTTACTTAGATAACTAAATTAAAAAAAAATTTTCTTTTGTTTTGTTTTCTTTCTTTTTTACTTAAATTCCCAATTAAAAAGAAAGTGAAAAAGTGCTGTTTTGCAGATATTACTCAATCGATATATATTAAATATATATTAAACGGTTTTGACTCAAAAAACAAGAAAATGGCACAGACAGATGAGAAAACAGCAAAAATAAAAATTTGAAAACGATTTGTCTTTCAAAACCTTGAGAACTAGACCGGAAAATCCAAGGTGTTGTAAAATTTTTTAAACGAACAACTTTATAGAAGTGGAGGAAAGTAGGAGAAAAGAATAAAGAAAAATCGTTAGTAGAAAGCCTTTACAGGGCTTCTGCAGAGAAAAATAAGACACAGCAGACTGATGCAAAATAATTACCGTTTTTGGGAGTCACAAAAAAAAATTGGAATCTTAACGTCGCCATTACACGGATCACCATCAGTTTTAATATCACATTCAGAACAATCCGAATCTATGTTACACGGTAACGACAACGTCAGCTGATTAACATAACCTTCAACAGCAATACGTCGGTTTCGCTTCTACAGTATCCATCAACGAAGGAAAAAAACCTACTTATATTTCCATAGCTGAGCGTAAAAAATCTTAGAACAAACTTATCACCTACAAGCATCCCATTTTTTGAACCAGATATTTAAAACTACATTTATCTTTCCAATTTTAGGTCACTTAAGACCGAGGCAAGGACAAAAGAGGTGCATCTTTAATTAACTTCAGCAAGCTTTGAAAATTATGCTAAATTAGAAATTCATAGAAATGAAACAGCTAACCAAAAGAAGGCCAGAAAAAAACAAGCAATAACAAAAAAAAAAGGATTGGTTGCTTACATAGATAGCTAAAAAAGACGAACAGACGAACTGTCATGACTGTTGTGGTAGAAATGTTCTGTGAGATTAATGAAAGATTCCGTTGTGCCAGGTAGTCGTTAAATTAAATAAAAATTAAAGTTGATACGGCGAAGTATTTGACACTTTACCTGTATTGTTTGCATTTCAAACTGTTCTCAGTGTGTGTATCTCGGTCAGTCGATTATATTAATCTATCGTCTAATACAATCTATTAGCCGCAGTAAAACAACATCTTAAGCTTAAAATTAAGCATACTGCTAGAGAAACAAAAGTCAAAGAGGAAAAAATAAGTGAAAGAAAAAAGGAGCAATACAAAAGAAAAATGTATCATTAACTCGAAAATTTCCTTTTTTCGCCCTTAATTGAAGCCAAATATACACTGTTATATTGTTTACACTCTTCAGCAGAATTTTTCTAACGAAAAAGCCTATATTCTTAAGTGTATATGTGCTTTTAAATCAGACAGCATACCGATTTAATATTGTTGTCAACGTTTTGGGAGAGATAGACGACGGGAGAAGCCACCAAATCTACCTACTGTATAATTTTATTATGCCCACTTTTGATATGCAGCTATAACACGACATTTATATAATTTAGTTTAATTGAGCCATCTTCGCCAAATCTTAACCACTTAATATACTTCAAAATTTTTATTGCACACCATCACAGATACCACACATATTGGCCAAATAGATGCTTCAAATTATAACAATTTTTTCTTACTGTAGATCAACATCGTTGTTGTTTTTTTACCATTTTTTTCTCGTTTACTAGACATTTACCAACAAACAAAAGGTTATTATTAAATGGAAAAATTCTTTCCCTTTTCTTGTGCTTTAACATATTAGCGAAAACTTCCTACAAATTATGTGCATCTTTGAACAAAATGATGCTGGCTCAACTAACACCAAGAATAAAACAATAATTAGAAGATAAGAATTTGGTGACGCGTTCTAACTTGAACTGGAGTACAGTATATTATAAGACGATGATAAGAAAGTGTTAGTTAAAAAACTTATGAAACTAGCTCAGATGACAATTTGCCATAACTGTTGCACATTTACAGGTTTATTAAAGTCTGTTTCAAGCACTAATTGGTAATTAATGTTGTTCAACGCTGAATCTTTCCTAATATTTGGGTTTAAATAAGGCCTTTGCTCGTCAACTCTTTTAGCACTTGCTGACTAATCTGCGCATCCGAAAATTCTTCAACCAACACCAGATAATCACGTAAATTCCTGGTGTTATTAAATTGATAAAGGTTTCTTGACTAAGCAGTTCTTGGCAAGTTACAACAGATATAGCTAGGTTCGATTATTTACCGTGCTTCTGCTACTGATACTGTATTAAGATCCAAATTGATTAAAAGCTGTCAGCAGATTTACTGGTCTTTTAGCACACTTCTGTATCAACTTCAAAACTACCCTTAAAAACAGCAGTACCCTATATCTCGGCAATTCTCTGTAAACATCAACCACTCTGAACAATTTTGACATTTTGGTGGCAGTAATTTTATTGTTCTTTCAGAAGAAGGAATATTTCTCCTTTTATATCTTTTTCCTTTCCAATAAACAAATAGAAAGAAATAATCGGGCCACTTTGTTGATTCAAGAACTTTCTGCATTTCACTGACGTTCAGACGCGTTAAAAAACAATAATAAAAATCTTTTTATTTCATTTACTATAAAGTACAGAGGCTCTGTGTACGAACTTCAGAGAACAACAAAGGAACAATCACAAATAATGCAGTATTTAAAAATTGCTTGATTTAAAAATAAAGAAAAAAAGACAATTATTATATTTAGCCTACAACAAAACTACAACAAAAAAGGTAGTTTTGAACCATTGATTTTTACAACAAATAATGCTATTAGCGTAACAATTACTGTTAATGTTTAACTAAATAACGACAAACACAACAAGTAATTTGAACTGTTAAAGTGTTCTATATCCATTTTGGCAACGATATAGGCACCTGCTGAACAAGCGTTTAAAAATCAAAATTTAGGGTCTTTTGACCATACGACAAATTCCATTAATCGGAGTCATCAAAGACGGGCAAGACGGTTCTAGAAATAAACCATTAAATCATGCAGTACTGTTCTCAGCATTTATTCAGTTAATATTAGGAAAAACACTTTAATCTCTAACTTTGACTTCTGTAACACAGCTTAATTCTTCAATTTTGCGAAACTTTTGTAACTACTTTCCTCCTCCAAAGCTAAACTACTTACGGTTCATGCGGTTCAGTTTTAGACACCAAAAATTTCAAGCAAATTTGAGTTCAAATAATTGACTTACGGCATCTTTTAATTAGCCTTCCATTGATCTCCAATTCGAGTAGCACCAAATATGAAGGACATGGAGAATTCCTTAATCCCAATGCTCCGCCAAGTAATTTTGCCGGTTTGGCCATCAAACGTTTATATGGATTATAGCTCCTATCTACTTGTTTTGAATTCCCACTTCTGTGCTGCTTTTTCAATGCAGCTATTGAAGTTGTTTGCTTTCTTGGTGCTTTACAGCATTGCATTGTTCTTGTAACCGAATTTAATATACAGGTGTAGCTAAAATTTCTTATATCGTACTGTGGCAGATTTAATTATAACAGTAATGTGAACAAAATAGTTGGAAATATACCCAGCCGGACATCGTTTTCTGGTTGAACACGTAACCGGTTGTCCAGAAGCCGGAAACAATAACGTCTGCGATAACGGGCAATCAGCTGTTATTACTGTAAGCAGAAGCTACATTTAAAATTTCCATCCAAACCTTGGCAATTGAATAATAATAAGAGTGCTAAAAATATGAAACACTCTACTTGAAAGTTTTGTTCCTCCTGAGCAGCAAAAATAATTACGCAATTTTTTACTGAAAGTGCACTGATAATCACGTGGACAAGCTTGACGCATACATGTACGTGGAACGTTCTTGAACAGCAGATGCTTTTTACCATAAGGACAGATTCCTGTGAGAGCTGAAAAGCAGTTATATCTCATACAACTTTTAAATCCTCATTTGCTTAAAACATTTTTCTGCAGATAATTTACTAAATACAAAAGAAAGCATTATGAAAACTGCTGTAACGCATATTCCTGTTTTTTTTT